AAAATTAACAACAAGCTTACTTTTCTCTTCGCTACCGCTTATTCAACTAAAAGCTAACAAATGTTGACTGAGTCTTTTTGCGAAGTATAACCACTGGAAATGAATCCACCTTTGCGGAACTCGAATCGCAGCAACAATGAATAACGATTTTAGTCACTGCAAAAGTCAGAATTACTCGGCATTAACTAAGAACCGTCAAATTAGGAAGAAAAGAGACACATAAAAAACCTAAAATTTTGTGAAAAAAAAAGGATATGGGACACCAGTCGCTTTCATTTACCAGAAAGTCAGTCATACGCCAAATGACAGCAATTTCCTTTTTGAAAAGCTGATGTTCCAGTAAATCGATTAAGGAGGATGAACCATAACTGTAACCTGAGCATCAAAATTCCGATTCAAAACGCAACCCAATGCAGCATTACTAGCCAATAAATAAGTAGTTTTATGGATTACAGTTGGTTTAATGTAACTAAATTCCTGGCATAAAAAGTAGTGTTATTATCGAGCTGCTTTCAACAAAGAATGAAACCTTTTCCCAGTACACGCCACTTTAAGTATAAATCCATATTTTCCGACTAAAACAAAAATATTTGGCTGTTTTTTTTTTTTTTTTCAATTTTTTACCTGTTATTTTATCCTCCGGATGGTTAAACATTTCCAAGCACTATGGACCAAATGTCATCATTATTACACTCCACAATAAGTACAACACAGAGTGCAACAAGTTTAGGCTGATTTCTCTGAAAATGACACATCCTGTTACCTGCATGCTGTAGCCTAACGTCTCCGATTTTAAAGCTATAACTGCTAAATACAATCGCAAAGCTGAGAGCAAATTAATTTTATTTACAAAATTCCAGAACCTTTTAACTTATAAACAAAAAAGAAGTGTGTAATCGCAGATGAAAAAAGAAAAAAAAAATCAATGGACGACATAACTTACCGGAATTTTCATCCAAGCCCCAAATTGACGACTGATGTCAGTGTCGCGGGAAAACAAAATTCCCGCCAAATCTTAAAAAAAACTGCCAAGACTAATGGCCGAATTTCTTTAAAGATAACCTAACTGTTACAATGGGAACCTGGACTAAAAATGTCGAACGCAGGACGAGAAATGCTTACCAGATGTTAAACCGAGGCTGACCCAGACATCCTAGGAAGCCGCGCTTTAACGAAGTATATCATCTCAACGATGTATCTTACAACAAATTTTAAAAATCTTGTTTCATTTTCTCAACTTTTTCCACTCTTTACCGTTCGATAACCCACGTATCTCAATAATCAAACTCAAACTTAGGTGGTCTTATCCACCATTAACTCAATTTACGTATTATACGCTCTGTACTATTGACTTTATGGGATGAACGCCAAAACAAATGTTCCCCACAGAACTGGTTTGCCAAAGTAAGTTGTTTCAAAGCAAATATTTCCTTTGCAATTTCTTCGTTTCTGAATCATTGACCAATTATAGCAAACCTTCATTACTAGCCATAGCTATAAGATATTTCCAGGATTCTTGTACTCCAACGACCAATTTTTTATTGATATTTTACTCTAAAACCAGCAACTTTATCGCCTCTAATAGTAAAGCTTGAGCAGCCCCGTATAAAATCTTTCTTGACAAAAAATTCTTGACTTTACTCGTTGCCACTGTAGAAGAAAATTATTTCACTGCCGGAAGAGAAAGCAAACAAATTGGTAATACATCAAAATTTACTCTATTCGCAGAAAATCTTCCAAATCATTATTTTTTTTTACTTTCTTAAGAAAAGAATCCATTTTTGTCCAAAAGCTAATCACCGCACACTATGAAAACATAGGTGATGATGTGAGTAACGACGACTAGGGTTCAAGATATGATGAGTGACAA